TTTGGCCCCAAAAGTCATGGACTCCGCCTATGTCTTCAAGAGGTTACCTATTTTATCACCCAGTAGATCAGGTGCTATGGTTTTAATATTTAGATATTTGATCTCTTTTGAATTTAGTTTAGTATATGGTGGAATATATATATATATAACATATGTGTCACATTGCATGTTGATATCCAGTTAACCCAGCACCATTTATTAAAGGGGCTGTCTTTTCTCCAGAGTAAATTTTTGGCTCCTTTATCAAAGATCAAATAACTAAATGTGTCTGGAGTTTTTTCTGCTTCCTCTATTCTGTTCCACTGACACATATCCATTTTTTTGCAGAAGTACCATGCTGTTTTTATCTCTGTAGTTTTAAAATATAATTTCAAATCATCTTTTGTGATGCCTCTCCTGCTTTGCTATTGTTATCCAGAATTGATTTTGCTATTTTGGGTCTCATTTGATTCCATATGAAATTTAGGACTGTTGTCTCTACATCTGTGAGGAATAATTTTTATATTTTGATTGGAATTACAGTAAATCTATATATGAGTTTGAAAGTACTGCTTTTTAACTGTATGAGTTCTATCTATCCAGGAAGATCTATCCCTTTTCTTGTGTCTTTTTCAGTCTCTTTTTTAAGACTAACATAATTTTCACTGTAGAGATCTTTCACTTCCTTGATTAAGCTAATACTTAAGTAATTAATGTTTTCATGCATTGTAAATGGTGTCATTTTCTTAATTTTTCAGTGAGTTTATTATTAGTATATAGGCATGCTATAGATTTTTATGTGTTTATTTTGTATTATGCTACATTGCTGAATTTGGTTATTAATTTAGGAGTCTTTTGGGGAATATTGGGATCTTTCAGGTATAAGATCATGGCATCTGCAAATAATGATACATTGACTTCATCCTTTCCTATACAGGTCCTTTTTTTTTCCTTTTACTTAATTGCATTGGCTAATGTTTCAAGGACAATGTTGAACAGGAATTTTGGTATTGGACAGCCTTCTCTTGTCCTTGATTTGAGAGGGAAAATTTTGCTTTCCCCAATTTAATGCATTGCTGGCAGTAGTTTGGTCAAAATAGCTCTTCTCATATTGACATAAGGTCCTTTTATACCTATGTTCTTCAGAGTATTTATCATGAATGAATGTGGGATTTTATCAAAGGCTTTTTCTTCATCTATTGAGGTGCTCGTGTGATTTTTGCTATTGCTTGTGTTGTGATGAATCATCTTTATTCATTTGCCTATGTTGAACCATACTTCTATCCCTGGGATAAAGTCTACTTGGTCAAGGTGTATGATCTTTTGGATGATGTGGTGCATGCTCTTTGCCAATATCTTATTGCCTTAGCTACTTTTCTTTCATTGCTGAGACAAAACACTTGGTACCCAAAGTTAAAGAAGAAAGGGTTTATTCAGCTCACAGTTTGTGGAGGTTTCAGTCCATAATCAGCCAGCTCCAAGGCAGGGTGGCATGGATGAGGGGCAATAGTTCATGGTGGCACAAAAAAGCACCAAAAGCAAGAAAAGGGAACCAGCCTCTTTTCCTGCCTTATACTGTGAGCAGGCTATCTGCTGTAATGTAGTTGTAGCTCACACAACATCTACACGCCCTCCTCTTGTGCAGGCCAAGGATGTCTACAAAATGAAGACCCTGGCCCCCTGATGAGTCACTGAGTTAAATTTCTAAACTTGTCAAGTTGATAAAATGAACAACATCTTATAAGATAAAGACATGTCCTCCACACCCTATGGTGCAGAATGGCTGAGTTACTCAGTTAAGCTTCTAGACTTCTTAAGTTGACACAGTGTATCAACCATTACACTTGTTGAGGATTTTTGTATCTTGTTCATTAGAGAAATTGGCCTGTAATTGTCTTTTTACTTTGGATCCATGTCCGGTTTGGGCTTCAGGATAATACTGGCTTCTAAGAATGATTTTGGCAGTACTTGTTCATTTTCACTTTCATTAAAGAGTTTGAGAAGTATTGGTGTTATAGCTTCCATGATGTTCTTATAGAAGTCAGCTGTGAGTCTATGAGGTCCTGGGACTTTATTAATTAATAATTTTTTTGCTTTTGGCTGTTGTTATGGCTTTAGTTTCATTGCTTATTTATTTTTGGGGGGGTACGAGGAATCAAACTCAAAACCTCGCACTTGCCAGGCAGGCACTGTGACATTGAGCTGTATCCCTGGCCCTGCCTGTTATTTGATTACTGAAGAGTTTCATCTCTTTTTGGTTCAGTTTTAGCTTTCTTCAATTCTACAGTTATTTTACATATAGGTTTGTGATGTAGTTAATGATAATTTTCTAGATTTTGATGGTGTCCGTTTTGATTTGCCCTTTTTATTTTTAATTGCATTGATTTGTGTCTTTCCTTCTTTTGGCAAGTTTGGGTAAGGATTTGTCTATTTTGTTTATTTTTTCAAAGAAGCAACTCTTTGATTCATTGATTTTTATCTGCATTTCACTGACTTCTGCTCTGATGTTTATAATTTCCCTTCCTTGTACAAGCTCTACATTTGGATTTTACTTGTTTTCTAGGGCCTTGAGATGCATTACTAGGACATTTGTGTGGGATTGTTCTATTTTCCTGATGTAGGCATTCACTGCTATACACTTCCCTCATAGAAATGCTTCTATTTTGTTCCATAGGATTTAGATTAAGTGGTATATGGCATAATCATATAAATGTATAATTTAGATATGTTGAACTTTCAATAACATTATCCACAAATATTTCCATGATTATAAAGACTGATGCTCTTTTATTAAATATATATATATAAAACATGTATATATTGTATACATAAATGGATATGTTTTGTATATATCTACATGGTTTTTATGTATATGGCATAAAATTAAGCACATTTTTTTTCCTACACAGTGACTCATTTAGTGATATGCTCACAGGTATTTTTACATGCTTTTATATTTTATACACTTTCTAATTTTTTCACATAAGTAAAAAATATTATTTAAAATTTTGGAATGTAACTCAGTTTTATCCTGTTCACTTTAAGTAAAACATATAATATAAATTTTATAGGAATAAACAAACTTAAGAGCCATTTAGATGCAGAACAAACAAAATGGATTAGGAAATACACCCTTAAAATATTTGATTATTTTCACTTATACAATAGATTTCAATAGTCAATGGATGTAGTTGTCAGATTAGCCAACAATAACAATGGAGTCATTAGTTGTCAAAGGATGGCAAATTTTAACAGATTGGAGTAGATCTCATCAATCAGAATACTGTATACTGTAACTTGCAATTACATTTCATTGATAATTGGTTTATGGAACAAGGAAAATGCAGTCAGACGTTAATGACTTGCTGTACAACTTCATTATAAGGAAGGTCCACCACAAATTGTGAACAAAAACAAAACAAAAACTAATCAATCAGAACCTCATTTCTTATTGTCCCAATGTTCACCAAATTCATTTTAGCAGCCATGTTTCAAGTCTCTCTGAAATTTGAGAGAAAACAACACATCGAATATATGCTGCCAACTTCGTGTTTATTTTCCTCAGAACTGCTTCTTCTCCCCCACTGGCTTCCACAAAGCCTACTGCGTGTCTTCCTTTTTCTTTTTTTTTCTTTCCCCATACTGGGGATCGAACTCATGACCTTGCTCTTGCCAGGCAGGCACTTATGCCACTGAGCTATATCCCCAGCCCCTACTGCATTTTTTCTAATATGAATTCTATGGACATTGGGGAACAAATATTTCTTTCTTAAGGGGATGAGTCCAGCCAGCCTGTGCATTGTAGAATGCTTAAAACATCTTTGGCCTTTAGCCACTAAATACCAGCAGCACTGCTCCAGATTCAGTAATCAAAATGTCTTCAGACATTGTCAAATGTTTTGAGTTAAAAATTACCATTAATTGAGAAGCACTGGCTTAGTACACAGTGAAAACTTACAGATATGCCCTAAAATATGTAAGAAATGAGCACGTAAATAAGGAAGTTTCTTTTTTATTGATGTTGTGATTCTTTCTGGATTGCATTTGCATTGTAAAATTGAAATTTCATAATTATGCCACAATATACCTCACTGTCTAGTTGGTATAGTTTCACCAACTAGCTCCAACCACTGGGCAGGTCCAAACTTACTAACACTCATAATACATTTGACTGTCTTGAGTTCATGATGGCATCTTGGTCTGTTTTCAATTCCTTTGATGAGCTGAGTTCCATATTAAGTCAATATTTCAAGGCTATTTAATGTTTTTTGACTGTCAAGCATTGCTACTCTATAAGTGTTGACACATGTAAATAATACAAAAATCTCGTGTCTGATGGTTCCATTTCTCATTACGTATGAAACTCTGTTATGTACGAGTCATGTAGTCTGTTTCTTTCATGTTTTGAAATCATTAACTTCACTTTTAATGCGTCAGCAAGCTATGTAAGCAATGCTGTTGCTTAGGCATGTGTTATATTAACTGCATGGCATTTGAAAACACTTTGGCTCTAATAATATATAATCTCGTTCTTCCAGAGGAGAATTCTATATTTCTTGTGAGCACACAATACAAATTAAGGGCAAATAGGCATGAAATGGTCCCTTCTTGCTTGGAGACAAATCAAAGTTTTCTGTGAATAGTCATTCAAAAACTTCAAGGTTGGGCTTTGGCATCTGTTCTCTGGCTACACAGTAGTGAAGCACTTTGTGTTATTTATTATACCAGTTATTGGACTGTACTTATCTTTCTTTTGGAAATATGGCCTAAGAAATGGACAAGCTATAAGTTGCTTAATTATTATTAATTATTTCTTCATTTTTTCTCTCTTTCCTTCATCATCATTAATTTTTGGGGAGTGAAGATGTTGCTGCTGCTCCTGCTGATGATGATAAAAACTGCCAGGTTGTGAACACATACTCTGTCTTAATAAAAGGATCTTAAAATATGGCATATCTAGCACAGTACTGAACAGTAAGGATTTTCAAGTTAGTCTTAGTAAAATCAAAACAACAGCAATAACAACAAAAAAGATAAAGAAGATTCCTACAATTTTCTTTTTCTGCAGAAAGTTCTTTCTTCTGTGTCCCACTTATTCTTTTGATCACATACAGGTAATGGTGCTTCACAGTTTCTTTGGAGAGAAAAATAGATTTATAAACAATAAGTGCTTAGATTACATAGAAACACAATAGCCTCCTAATAAAAAGTCACTGTCTCTACAGCCTAATGTATTTCTCCGAAGAACCCTATGAAGTAGTGCTGATATGGTATTATCCCCAATACATAGGCAAAATAAATGAAACTCAGAAAGTTTACTATGTTACCCAAAGTTATACTAGTTATCCTTTCTGATTCCCAAATTCATGCTGATTGCCATTTTCTCATTGGTTATATCATCCTCTTCCCTTAAGACTCAATTAATTCCTTTCTCTTCGTGACAACTGTCATATTTCCACAGAGCTATGCCTTTACTTCAGGGTGAGATCTCCCCACTTCATTCATGACTGGATTGTTTGATAGAGCTTCAGCACTATCACTATCCCAATTTCCTAACTCTTAATACATTCTGGATTCTCTAGGAACTCCTATCAGAACATGTCTTACTCAGATGGGCTCTGAAGTACTTGATTTATTTATACAGGTGAAGTGAAAACTGTCATTGAATTTTTTTCCTCCAGAAATGCAGTAAATATATATAGCTTTGTTAGAATAATTGAAAGGTGTGATGGAGACATCAGGAAATCTAAATGATCACTGTGTGACAATGGGCAAGACAATTAAATTCTCTAAACTTTGGCTTCCTCATTCATCAAAAGAGGGGACTGAGTTAGTGAGCTGTTTCACACCCTCTGAGACAATAAGCAATGTGCTCACAGAAAGTCCCAACACACTCATGTGTGGAAGTGACTCATGAGCATCTAATTGGAGAAGATACTCAGTGTTATGCTGTGCTGGAATCAATTGCACCAGGAGGAAGAGGGCATGTAAACAGGGCCGACTGTGCTTATTTTCCTAACAAAATATCCCAAAGTGTGAGGATTCAGAGGCTTGAGCTCTGCTGGCAATCAATAAAACATGAATGCATCTTTCTGAATGCATTTTCCTCATCCCCTTCAGGTTCCCTGTAATGAGGAGATAATGAGCTATAGATATAGGCAGGGGTGCCTGAGAGCTTTTCTAACATCCACTTTGTTAGAGCAACTTTTGCAGCTGAAAGGCAAAACATTTCCAAGGGATACTCTGCCAACTGTGTCAAACTTTGAGCTTAATGTCATGATACTTTCTCCAGAATGTAAGTGTACCTGTGGGGATCCCCTTAATGGGTGCTACTCAGTTATGGCTGACAAAAATAAGTTTGACTGTTTCTTCATTGATTGCTTATTTTTATAATCAAATTATGAGAAAATTTTTACTAGAAAACCACAGATCTCAACATTAAAAAGAAAAAACCCTGAAGTTGTTGTTACATTTCCAGTATATTTCTGTCATTTTTTATTTGCCTGTTTCTTTGATGGGCTTGTACAACACAGTCTCCTTCCATTGCCTCAATACTTCCAAATACCACTGCATCGCGGATGTATTTTTTACTGAGTGTCTAAGTAAGAAATGTCCACAGCTCCTTGCTTATCCTAAAACAAACCCTTAAGTCCAGGGTGGTACAAAGGTTTCATCTCTTTTCTTAACATAATCAACTTTGTCTGTCTGGTAAAGAAATAATCCTGAGGACAATGCCAAAGGAGCCCCAGATCTCAGGAGGAAAAGTGATTGCATGTGGTTAGGGATAATTTCCAGTGTTCAGAGAGGAAGGCTTGGGTTCAGTATTTGGCATTGCTGGTGAAAAAATTTGTCTAAATTCAATAGAATGGATGGATGGAAGTCCCTATGGAAGGTATCAAGTTAATGCATATGGAAAAGAATCAGAAGTTGGAGATGTTAAATATCACATTTGTTAAGGTGTCCTGCAGAGCAAGATGGTCTACACTCAAAACTGGGTGCCAGAACTGAGGATTACAAGCACACATACACACACATACACACACACACACTCACATTCATACACAGGCACATCATAAAAGAGTAGGAAAGGCTTCCTCCTTATTCCATGGATACCTCAGAAATATGCAAGACAAGACTCTCAAAAATGTCCAAAACTGACCTAAAACAGGAAGACTCAAGCTTGACTTGGGTTTCCTTTATTGTTAAATGTTTGGGGATAGAATAAGCATTCAAGGAGAACAGAGTTTTGCATGGTTTGATTTTTCCCTCTGAGACCAAGGGAAGAAACACCAAGGTATATCAGTGGAGTTTTCTATATGGAGTACAAAGAGAAGAGACAGAGATGAATCTAAAAGATCAGCTGCAAATATAAAAAAAAAATGGGATCAGACTTCTCATCACAACATACTTATTTCTTAGGAAACAAGTTTATATTTATTTTTTCTCTTGTTTATTTTTTTCATTTTATTAGCACATGTTGGCAGTACACTGGGATGCAATTTCAAAATGAAACAGAAAGAAATCAGCCTCAGCAGTTAGATAGCATAAGCTCAAACCTTGACCTAACCTCTCAAGAGAGTGCTCCCTAATGAAGGATTTTAGCTTCTTTGAAGCTGATTTACTTCCTCTGTCAAGTGGAGATAATACTGTTTAGATAGCAGATGAAGAATGGAGATGTTGGTGAGGGTTTTGATGTTGGGATACAGGAAGTGATTGGCACCTCATTCTATCACCCTTATGCTTTATGCCACTAATGGTTCTGCTACCATCGTCACTCTTATTTTAGTTTGCTTTTCTCCACAGAACAATGTTTACAATCTGCCCCTGTTCTGTATATTTGCTCTTCAATCTGAAGCGAGGGTTGCTTAAATGACTTTCAAGCTCAGTTATTCTAGCTCAGTTATTCTTTTCCTCAGGACTGTGTTGACCTCAGTACTCTCTGTTTTGGAGAACCTTGACTTACTGACATCCACCTTCCTAGAAAGAAGGCAGGATGGTTTTCAGACTTCTTTAATGAAGTTCTCTGGTTGCCCACTGTATTTCACTATTTAGGCCTGAACAAAATATACTCAGTTTTTCTCACAGGCCAAGCATGACTCAAATTTCATGATAGTTTAGAAGGTGGAGAAACTTGATAGCCCAACTGCAAATTCTAGAAGAATCTTCCCGAAAATGTGGATTTTCCCATATAGATTTCCTGTGCACATCTTGGTTCAGATGTATTTTGTAATCATTCTCATTCATTTTATATTTAATTTTGTGTAACAATTGTCCCTTTTGTTAAATATACCCTTACAGCTTCAAAGTGAGAAACATTCAGGGATTTTTTTTCTTGACTTGGAGTCCCTAAGCCATTTATCTGCACCACACTTGAAGCAGGGATCTATTCTATATTGTATTATACGTTTTTGTCTGTGTGTCTGGTCAACTGAGATTTCCAAATGATAGATATTAAATGATTACTTCTGAAATAGGAAACATTCTAGTCCTTTTCTTGAAGGATCTGACTCAGTGAATTGGGGGATGGGGCTTGAGGAACAATATTTTAAGAAGCTCTCAAGAATATTCATTAAATAGAGGTGTTCTCTTAATGGACTTTAAAATATATAGGGTTTATATTTTCTTCACTAAGACAGCTGAGGTGTTTTGTCAATAAAATAAATTCTAGATTTAAATTTACATATTCTTACGGTCACTGAGTCTGGAGTAAAATAATAATAATCTCAACAATAGTATCCACAATGCCTTAAGTGTCCACTATGCATTCGATTCTTTATGGATATCTCTGAATCTTACAATAATGCATTGATTCAGAATGTATGATCTCCAGGTTAGAAACTGAGTCTTAGGTTGGAGGTGGTAAATGCCTCCACCTATACAGCTGCAAAGTAGTCAAATTAATCTTCATATCCAGATCTGGCTGACAGCCAAGCTCCTGTGACTTGTGAAGTGGATTGGACATAATTCTCCAGCCACTGCTGCTTGCCCTAGTTAACATTCTCCTTGAACGACCTACAAGGTCCTTAACTTCTCACTGGCTTAAGTGCCTCTGATGTTCCTAGTTTAAAAATTGCAATATACACATAAATAATTCAAGCAAACAACTTGATATAGTGGAGTGCATTAGGGCTAAAATAACCCTCCCCTTTTTGACTAGTTTAGAAAACCATCATCATTTTCTAGAAATACTCTCTGGGTTTCATGTAGTGCATGGTACATTGAATTTGTTAGCATTTTGCCAGCTCTGCCATTCAAAATAAAAAAAATTACTCTGGAATCACTGCAAAATCAGCATAATATAGATTTAATTGGCCTTTCCTCACAAATAACCTTCTTCATGTCAGCTTTATTGCCTTGATTGGAGAAAGACCTATCTTTGTCGTCAATATACACTTGATAGGGATTAATAACACTTTTAGTCAAGATTCAAAAGGTGTTTGCTGACAGGTTAAAACCTGTATCAGAATGCTGTCTCTAAAATGATTTTTTTCACCTAACTGAAGTTTTATGGAATGTGATCGAAAAATACTGGAATGTTAAATTTAAAAAGTGTTTTACACTAAAATACACATTTTCAGGCTGGGGATATAGCTCAATGGCACAGCACCTGCTGGGCAAGCACACCGTCTTGAGTTCGATTTTCAGTACCAAAAATAAATTAATTACTTAAATAAAATATACATTGCAGTTAATCCCCCTCAAATATTTCCCTCGTGTTAAACACACCGCCCCATCATTCTTGCCACTTGCTCCAGTTTTGAAGCCCCCTGCAGTGAGTGTCTTTACTTGTGATGCTGTGGCTGCCTCAGTGCTCTGAATTGGATCAAAATATTTATCTTATTTTTGTTCGGGCACTAGGAATTGAACTCAGGACCTTGGACTAGTCACCAGGTGCTTGTGCCGCTGGGCTATATCCCTTTCTAAATATTTACCTTTCACTGTCATTTTGACTTTGAGGAATAGCCAGAAGTCACGGCATGGCAAATCTGACGAGCAAGGCAGATGAAGACACACTGTCATGATTTTACAAGCCCGCTTTTCTGTTGGACGGTACTCTGCAGCAGTATTCACTGTACTGTATTTTCAGACCTCAGCTACATACCCTTCGAAGGAGTCTTGCAGAAAAAATTCTCA